CCCTCGTTCGACTGTTTTGCGATTGGCTCGACAATCGCAGTTGAAATTTTATTGTGAGATTGTTTTCTAAACTCAGTTGAACCGTCCGAACTCGATCGGTGTGTTGCAAACAACTGAAAAGTCGATATGATGCACCAGTAAGAAAATATTACAAAACACTAAGAGCACAGCAAATGAAACTAACTTTCTAGTTTTACTAACAGTTGTCGCACTGGTCCTGGACGAGTTCAACCGCTGTTAAAACTGCGCTCTGATGTGTAAAAAAATGACCACAATGACAGGATGTTTAGATCGGCAACAATATAATTAATATACAGTATGTTGAAATAGTAATGATTAGCGCCATCAGTGTCCTTATAACCTCACAGTAAACCGTATCTACGTAAACTTAAAGGGGTCATTTGCCACAAAGCCGTTGCACAACACCTGCAAAACAAGCAAGACTTTTAGTAAAGCAAGCATTCTTTGAATTTACAGAGAATAGCAATAAAGGTGAATAAAGGCGAACAATAATTTTTCTTGAGGTCAAAATCAACATGGAAACAAAATAGTTATTGCTTGTGGGCGGAATAGTTGGGCGGACTAGTTGGCTCTTCCGATGTTTTATGTTTTTAGAGAAAAACGTGTAAGAATTAGCAAAGTGCCTGCTAGTGGTTAAAGACGTTGTTGAAGTTGAAGCGGATGAGGTTATTGTTGGTCTTTCGTGACATGAATGTTAGTAGTATTTGTATTGAGTGTCCTGGATGCACAATTAACTTTCGATTTTACCGTTATGACTTTTTAAGAAGTTCGTCATGTTCGATTGAAAACTCAACTTCGGATTTTGTTCGATTAAAGAAGCGTCCGACTATCGAATATTCATTTGTGTTTTAGTGCCAAAATACTTTGGTGTATTTGTGTTGGAATGACGGACCCGAAGGAGAGCAATCGAACGATTCAGGTTCGGCTTGACTCTATTACTGGACGTTCTTTTGGGGGCAAATTGGTTACGGTGTAGTCATCTGCAGGTCCTTCAAAGGCAAAAACCAAACAGCGGCAGTCTTACTGCCCCGGGCTACTGTATACACTTCTGAAACACTACCGTACATCAGCTGTACACGGATCTCTCAGTGCAAAACTTTGCGCCTTGAGTGCCGATTAGCTTTAAATTTCTTACTGATATAGTATGTGTCGATCTCTTCTCAGATCATCCTGAGATCACTGCTCGTCCTCAAGTTAAGACAACCACGGAAGGAGATAACGTGACTTTATCTTGTAACACTACTGGCAATCCAGTACCGACAATATCATGGACTATAAATGGAACTCCGGTAGATAGAAGGGACAATCCCAGGATCAGTTTTTCAGAAAGAAAACAGCAATTGATTATTACGAATGTGAGCAGGACAGACAGCGGAGAATATCGATGCGCGGCGAGCAACAGTCTTGGAAATGATACCTCCAATACTACTTCACTGGACGTTCAATGTAAGTGGAGAATGTTGTTTTAATTGCACGACATCGAAGAGGCTGGATAACTGTCGCCTGTTCTTCCCTTCTGGGTTTTTGGGCAGAATGTACTACTGTTTAATGAAACACTCAAAGATAAGCCAGGACTAGCAAATCTTTGATCGTAGCTCAGATAAGTTGATTTTCAATTGAGAGTCGTAAAACCAAATCCAAACAAGTCACTCTGGCCAATAACAAAAGACACAAAATCTAGTGAACAAATTAAGACATGAATCACGTGCAAGAAGCCGGCGCTAGGCAAGCGAAAACGTGTGTCGGAGAGCTAGCGCGAGTACGTCAGGATTTTGGTTTCTGATTGGATAAGAAAACGGCGCATGTTTTTTAAAAACCGTTTCTAAGCGTTGAGATGCAGAACCAAAGTATGTGCAAATTACTTTCGGCATTCAAGTGAGCCGAAATTTTGATCTGGAGAACCGCTATAAAACGACTTGTCACATTACAATTTATTGATGACTACATGTATTTGTAAAAAAAATTATTTTTATCCTCACATCTGTTTTGTGTTGAATGCTTCATATCGTACAATACGTAAGTGCAGTCGAACCACCCGTAAGCGACCACCGAAAATGTGAAGCCTTGGTGGTCGCTTACGGGAGGTGGTCGCTTACGAGAGCTTAGACCATATTGGGTTAAAATTTTGCCTCATTAGCATATGGTAACGTTTTAAATGTTTTATTTATAGGAAAAGTCAATTCCGAGAAAAAATTCGGTACCATCAATTGGGAGATTTCCGTCTCTTGTACAACACCTTATTATCCAATTTTCGCTCTATTATCTGTCAAGTGGTCGCTTACGGGAGGTTGAAAACAAAAGAAAATTTTAAACTTTTAGCTCTAAAAGTGGTCGCGGTCGCTGACAAGAGGTGGTCGCTTACAAGAGGTTCCAAATATAGTGATTTGATTTGGAACTTTTCTGTTTTGGGAAACTGGTCGCCGAGGAGAGGTGGTCGCTTACGAGAGGTGGTCGCAACTGGAGGTTCGACTGGATGAATATTTGTTATCCACCTTACTCAGTAGGAAAACAAAAAACGTTTATTATATACTATATATAGAATATACCATACCACCTGTATATTACTTAATGTCCAATATGTGTGAAGTCTGTGTTGGGTCAACTGTTCCATACAACCGGAGTTTATCCGGTTTCTATAGCATTAACTCATTTCTGCAGGGTTCATTTCATTATTGTGTTTCATTTTGTACCTGGATATTTTTGTAATTGTAGATCAACCTGAGATCACCGTTCAACCAAAAGCTCAGACAAAAACAGAAGGGGATGACTTGACGTTATCTTGTAACGTCACTGGAAACCCAGCACCGACAGTATCATGGAACAGAGATGGGTTTCCTGTGGAAACAAGGGAAAACGCAAGAATCAGTTTTGCAGATGACAAAAAGCAGTTTACAATAACGAATGTGAACAGGACAGACAGCGGAGAATACCGATGTGTGGCGAACAACAGCCTTGGAAATGATACCTCCAATGCTGCTAAAGTGGACATCCAATGTAATTTTTTTTTGTAACGATCACTTTGTAGGGATCTAGCTGTGATGTAAGAGGGCAAGTCGCGTTTTCAGTTTTCCGTATTTTTTTCCTTTAAAGGAAGAGCAAATACCAAGGGAGAATTTCTAGATAAAAGTATTGAAAACTGAAAACAAGACTGTACTTCTTTGAAGCATACCATGTTTACCCCTTGTTTAAAATGGCAGAATAAACTGATGACCAGTATGTTCATTTAAAGCTAATTTTCATAATAGCCCTGAACACGATGGTAAGGATGTTTACACACCATTGTAAAGTATATCGCCGACTTCAGAACAGCTGGTGTACATAACATCACAAATATTCCGTCTAAAACATCTTTAGAACTATATTTCCGCGTGTGTACAAAGGAGCAGGTTGTAATTTCTTACATGGTTTGTTGATTTTTTGTGTTTATAGATTTACCTCAGTTCATTGTTTATCCAGAAGCCCAGACAGGAGAATATCGATGTGTGGCACGCAACAGCCTTGGAATTGATACTTCCAATGTTGCTATGCTAAATGTGCAGTGTAATTACATTTTGTTGTGTTTATCAATCAAAACTGAACAGGTTGTCAGTATGCTGTCACTATAGTTGAAAAGGTTCTTTTCCCTTGAATCCCACTTTTCTGGATTTACTTGTAAAAAGGTTGGCCAGGTCGATTGTGTTTTCTCTACTAAGATTAGCCAGCAAAGCTACCTCACGCGATTCGCTGACGAAAAATCTCTTTAGCTTCGCGTTTTTGTTTGTTTTTCAACAGTGGTGTACATTCTTCTTAACTGAATTAATGTATCTCAGGAAATTCTTGTTTGCTTGAAAACCGATTGTACTCCTGATCTCGTCAAAAATGATCAGTCCAAGCAGGGTTCCGGGAGACATCTTACCCGGGGAAATTTTGAATATTTTGGACCTGAAAAACGCGATTTTAGTTGCGTTGGCAAAACCCTTGCACTATCATAGATTCCGTCATTATAACACAAAGTTCCCAGCCCTTTCAAGCATCTCATTTTCGCATTGTGCCCCCACTGATTAATTTCCACCAGCGCTTCTACGTTAAAAAAACTGAATTGTTGCTTAATAGATTGCTTTCACTTGCAGTTATCCCAGACGTAACAATTATTGGTGGTCCAGAACAGTTCGCAGTCGTAGACAAACGAATACTGCTGACATGTCAGTATAACGCTTTGCCACCAGTGTCTGAAGTGCAGTGGGAAAAAGATGGAACTGTGATAGCTCGAAATTCTAGTGTGGAGATTAATGACTCACGAGTGGATATTCCTCATTACAATCAAAGCCAAGTGCAGCTGCTAATAAATGCAACTATACCACAAGATGCTGGGAATTACACCTGTCTTGTTATAAATGACATTGGTAATTCATCGGATACGACATCAATGATAAGTCAAGGTGTGTTTAAATTTACTAAACGAAGGGAAATGAAATACTCAGGTGTTTATTTGTGTGTTGTTTATTCAATGTTGTTTATCAGTATACCTTTTGTTTTTCCGGGAAACCTAAAATATGAAACTGGATTATCGTGACCAGGACAGGGAGGGTGATTTCATGCGAGGACTTGCTTTTAATAACCCACACCAAGGCCTGAGTGAAATTTCGTGCGGGAACGAAAATGTCAATTACTTATGGAAATCACTGTTTCGTGTATACTGTAGAAGTAAAATAAATTAATAAATATATCAAATGACAAGCCTTGATCTGAGGTAATCTACAGCGCTTTTTATATGTAAGAAAGGAACTAGCGTCACACGATTGATAGGCAACTATAAAACCCTCAAGCGTCCATTGACCGAATGTTTATTGCTGCTAATTTGACAATCAACTGGTAGGAAATGATTACGCACACCTTAACCTGGCTAAATATATATTATATATTTTTTTAAACAAACTTTTGTAAGTCAAAAGAAAGAATGTTATATTTAAGAGTCCTTGTCCATAAATATGGAAAATAACTCGGCAGGGGTCGAAAATTCGATTTCGCTCATTTTCCTATGGTAGATAGACTAGGGCATGACTAAAACTACTGGATAGTTTTTTTGGCAAAATATCGTTTTATTTCAAAGAAATATACAAATTATCAAATTCCGTTAAAATCGTCATTTGACGCACCATTTTATTAAACAAGTTTGAGAGCCTCGCATGCAAAACCACATCATTCTTCCGTGTTTAGAACACTCAAATATTTTTGCGCAATGT